TGGACGAGCTTCTTGCTGTTCTTGGTTACAAGGTTCGATCTTCTGAAATGGCTCAAGTAGCACAGAAGCTCGAACAGCTTGAGATGGTCTTGTCTAACGATGATGTTGGTTCTACTAATGTCTTAAACGACACTGTTCATTACAACCCATCTGATCTCTCTAGCTGGGTCGAGAGCATGCTTTCCGAGCTCAACAATCCTGTATCTTCGGATCTTGACCCGACCCGAATCTGTGAAGATGGATCCGACTACGATCTGAGAGCAATTCCGGGTCTTTCCGCGTTTCAAACTGAGGAAGAAGAAGAGGAAGCTAGCAGCAAAAGGATCCGACTCGAATCAGTCGGATCCTGGTGCGATTCGGGTACCGAGTTGACTCGCTCTGTGTTGCTCGTTGACTCGCAAGAGACCGGAGTTAGACTCGTCCACGCGCTAGTGGCCTGCGCAGAGGCGATACAGCAAGAAAATCTCAGCTTAGCCGACGCGCTAGTGAAGCGCGTGGGTACACTCGCGGCTTCACAAGCCGGAGCTATGGGTAAAGTCGCTACGTATTTCGCTCAAGGCTTAGCTCGTCGGATTTATCACACGTCGTTGTCGGAGACTGAAATCCCCGGCGGTGTGGTGAGTCCGTCGTCGTTCGAAGAGGTTTTGCAGATGCATTTCTACGAGTCTTGTCCTTACCTGAAATTCGCTCATTTCACAGCGAATCAAGCGATACTCGAAGCTATCACGACGGCGCGTAGAGTACACGTAATCGATCTTGGGCTTAATCAAGGTATGCAATGGCCAGCTTTAATGCAAGCTTTAGCGGTTAGACCCGGAATCGGACCACCGTCGTTTCGTCTAACCGGAATCGGTCCACCGTTAACCGATAATTCGGATTCGCTTCAACAATTAGGTTGGAAATTAGCTCAATTCGCTCAAGCGATTGGTGTAGAATTCGAATTCAAAGGCTTAGCAGTAGAGAGTTTATCGGATCTAGAACCGGAAACGTTCGAAACCCGACCCGAATCAGAAACCCTAATTGTCAATTCGGTTTTCGAGCTTCACCGGTTATTAGCCAAATCCGGTTCAATCGAGAAGCTTCTCGCAACCGTCAAAGCTGTGAAACCGAATATCGTTACGGTGGTTGAGCAAGAAGCGAATCACAACGGAGTCGTCTTCCTCGATAGGTTTAACGAAGCGCTTCATTACTACTCGAGTTTGTTTGACTCGTTAGAAGACAGTTACAGTTTACCGAGTCAAGACCGAGTTATGTCAGAGGTTTACTTAGGGAGACAGATTCTCAACGTCGTAGCGGCGGAAGGATCCGATCGGGTCGAGCGACACCAGACGTTGACTCAGTGGAAGAAGCGGATGGGATCCGGTGGATTTGACCCGGTTTCTCTCGGATCCAGCGCGTTTAAACAAGCGAGCATGCTTTTATCTCTCTTCGCCGGAGGTGATGGGTATAGAGTTGAAGAAAACGACGGTTGTTTAATGCTTGGGTGGCAGACTCGGCCACTCATTACAACCTCGGCGTGGAAACTCGCCGGAGACGCCGAGTCACGACGGTAGAAGATAACTCGCTTGGAACCGGGAAAAAGAAGGGAGAAAAGTTTAAAAATTAGGAAAAAGGACCGTAACTTTTAGTTATGTTTTTACTGTTTTAACCCGAAGTTTTTGTGTGTTTAACCTTTTTGGCCTAAATGTTTACAACTTTATCTTTTTGGTCCTTGTGCGTATCATCGTAGAAAGTGGAGAGTAACGAGTAAAAATCATGTATCGTAGATCGAGCTAGTAAGAGTC